GCGGTCCCTGTGCTTTGCCAAGCTTGTTTCAAGTAGGTGCTTTAGACCACTGAGCCATCTCTCCAGCCCTAGTATGTTCTTAATACTTAGGGTATATATATGTCTGCGGTACAGGACGCTCTTGCTCTGTGTGTGGAGCTGGCGCGTGCACGCGACATCCTCACTCTTCTGTCCCCTCCTTCCTCTCCTTCCACCCCACCCACCCCAGCTCTTGCTTCCCTTCCCCTTTCCCTATTTCTTTTCTTTTTAGACAGGGTCTCCTAAGCGGTTCAGGCTGGCCCTGAGTTCACTGTGTAGCCCAGGTGAGTCTCGAACTCACAAGGACCCTTTTGCCTCAGCCTCCCAGAGTGCTGGGATTACAGGCATGTGCCACCACGCCCAGCCCCTATTTCCTATTATCTTTTCTTTTTGCTCTTTGTTTATGTTTTGGACTTTTCAGATAAGTGAAGCCCTGTGATATTTAAACTTGAGTGTCTGGTTTATTTCACTTACAATTAGGGTCTCACAGTGTATCCGTTTTCCTATATAACACTCCCGCGTGTCCTTGACAGCATACACGATACACATAAGCACGCCAGCTTGCTTTATCCATCCACCTGTTGACAGACATGCAGCCTGTTTCCAAGACTTGGCTGTTGTGTGCTTTTAGACATGGGTCTGCATGTTTCAGCACGGCATTAGGTCTTTAACTCTTTTATAAAGATGCCTAGAAGGGGAATAACTGGGCCAGATGGAATTTCTAGTATTTGTTTTCTGGGGAATCCCCACACTGATTTCCACAGTCCTTGCATTAGTTTATACTCCCACAAATAACACGGAAGGATTCCTTTTCCCTGCAGCCTCGCCAGCATTTGTTGTTATTTGATTTCTTGATAGTGTTTAAAAAGACTGGATGAATCAGTTTTTGGCAAGGCTGTATAATTGGGACTTGCACACTGCTAGTACAAATGTCAATTGGTACAGTCATTTTGGGAAAGAATTTGGCATTTCTTAAAAGGTTAAAATCTGTGATTCCCCTATTACATTTCTGGATGCTTACTTGCCCAAAGGAAATGAAAACGTGTCCACACAAAGCCTGGTGCATGAATGTTTACAGCGACTTCATTTGAAACAGCCAGAAACTAGAAATGGCAGTGTGTGTGGTGCCACATGCATGGCACCTGTCACACTTTGTGTCTAGGTGTCCCCCGAAGCCTCATGCCGTCGTGGGGGAGGTGGGTGGGAGGGTGTGTGGATGCAGCGCCTGCCCTGGGGCAGGCAATTTGCATTACAGTGTAAGAAGGGGAGAGAGGCTGGCTGGCGCCTGAGCTGCTGCCACTCCAGTTGCTCTCTGCTCTTTGCCACCATGAAAGGTTGCTCTCTTCCTTGTGCCTCTCTGCCTTGGAGCCAGCTCAGTATGGACTGAGACCTCCAGTAACTATGAGCTAAATAAACCTCTGCTTCTTTCATTTTGAGCATCGGGTATTAGTCCCAGCAATGAGAGAAAAATAACAGACAATACCCCAGCTCAGGATACTGAGGCAGTAGGATCGCTACAAGTTCAAGGCCAGCCTGGGTTATATAGTTCCAAGCCAGCCTGAACTGCATAGCAAGATC